TAGGAAGAAGCTCTGTCAAAACCAATGTCAGGTTCTGTCCAAGGGCTTCTGGGGCAAGTCGCACGTCCTTCTAGAAAAGAATACAAATCTCCAGTGGCCCTCACCCCGCAGCTGCTCTAGGGGTCTCAGCATGAGGGAGATGTGAACCCGACCGAGAGCCGTGCAGCTGAGCAAAGCTGGGGAGGTGCTCAGCCAACAATGAGGACCAGGGAGAAACGCGGACCACAGCCCAGAAACCTGGACTTGAGTTCTTTAAACTGGACTTAACCAGAGGCCTAGGAGGAGCCCAGAGGGGAATAATCCAGAACATGTGAGGAAGGAGTGACACAGAGGGCAGAGCCAAGGAGCACGCGGTGTGCTCACAGTTTTATTCAGTCACAAAGAAAAATGAAATTATGCCATTGGCAGGAAAACGGCTGGAGCTCGAGACCATCATGTTAAGAGCTAAGCCAGACTCATAAGGCCAGGGTCATATGTTGTCCCTCATATGTGGGAGACACAGGGGAAAAGGGGAAAGGAAGGTGGGAGGGGGCAGGGATGTCATGGAATCAAAAGGACATCAGTGGGACAAAGGCACCAGGGTGGGGCAGATACCAGAGAGTGACACTGGCCAAGTTACACTGTTATATTGTGAGCATGAACCAACCTGAAACACCACGTCCCACCATTAGGTGCAACTATGATGCACCAGTGACACATGGAAAAGGGAAAAAAACTCAAACGGGGAATCCTGCCAGGTCAGCACTCAGATGGCGGCTCAGATGCGCTTTGGCTTCTGCTCCCCAGGCCCCTGAGACTGCTTCTCCCCTCCTACACCCCACATCAAGGCCGTGCGCAGGCTGAGCTCTGCATGTATACACAACAGGATTCCTGGGAGGAGGGACTGCAGATGGCACAGCCCATGGGCACGGCGGGGCCAGCAGCCCAGCCTCTGCAGGAGTAAAATGACTCCTGTCGCAGGTGGATGAGCCTGGGGGGAGAAGCTGTCCCTCGCCTCTCAGCTGCTGCCCACACGGCCCTGCCCACCCTGAGACTGGTTTATAATGTTAAATGAGGCAGATCAGGATATCCTTGATAAAGACGAGTAGAGGCATCTGCAGTGAGAAAAAAGAGGAATTGGAAAAGGAATATCATGATTTCTGGGTCTTACAGTTAGTAAATGTCCTATAAATAGCGATTACAAGTAGCTGTTATCATCAGAAGTTTCCCTAAGATAGCTTTGAACCCCAAAGTTTCTTTCCATCAATAGCGTTCTTCAGCAGAGCCCAGGCATCCAGACTGACCTGGAAATCTCTCTAACACGGCCACACATCCACCCCAGTCAGACAAACTACTCCTATGTAATCTGTAATGACATAATTGAAACCAGGTTTACATTTATTTAAGTAGCCTCGCTGTGATGGAATGAAAATATTTTAGTTAGCGGCACAACACGTCTGAGCAGAATTTACAGCGGTCTCCCCTGCCCTGTGGATTCCTCACTTGCCTATAAGAACTCCATTTTGAAAATGAACGATAGAGGGAGAGAGAGAGAGAGGGCTGGGGTTGAGTTTCAGTTCTGCACAATGACACCTTTAACAACCTGCCAGCCAGTCAAAACCTAAATACAGCATCTGAAAAAGTCTTTACTACTGCCAGTTAATACTCAGAGGCTCTGGGGACAGGAACGTCCAGTGACTCAATATTTGTAAATGCTACTGTTGTCCCTCCAACACATGTTGGAGGCTCCTGGGAGAGGCGGGGGCTTTGGCCATGATGGGGGCGAGGGTCTGAGGTTTAAATAGGGAAAGCAGTCCCTAGGAAAACAAAATGAAACATACAAATGAGCACCTGGTGGCCTGGCCCAAGTGCCCGCTCTGAGAGCCCTGGGTCACCCCACCTGCCATGCCTGGATCACACACAACACCA